CGGTCTTCCAAATATGTCAGTCATTCCGGGTTGTTGGACGTTGCTGACGGCGGTGGGGAAGGGTTGTTGCTGTGTGGGTGCGGCCAGTTGAAATTGCGTTGTTTGCGGTTGGCTGAAGGGAAATGCACCCTGTGCGCCTTGTTGGTATTCTGGAAGTGGTTGAGCCAAATCAGCTGGTTGACGAGATAGACTGCTACTAATATCGGTAGGTCGTGGTGGGGGAATCATAGGTGCAAGAGTAGATATACCGGCGGGAGCAGGATATTGGATTGGGGCTACTGGTGCTTGCGGTGCGGCCAGTTGCATTGGTCTTGGCAGTTGGGCGAGTGCTGGATTGTATGCGGGAACCTAGAAATAGGTAATGTATAATGTAGTCGGTAAGTCTAGCCGAAGGAATGGACTTACTGGTTGTTGTGGTTGCGTGGGTACACCTGCTTGCCGAACCACATTCCTGAAGTCGACGTTTTGTCGCTGTGGAACGTTGACATTTGCGGTAGGAAGTGGCTGTCTACTTTGCTCGGTGTAGAGTTTCAACCTGTTACCCTAAATGCTCTACCTTATTATAATTTCTCACTCACCCTTAGTATGGGCAGAAGGTTATTTCAGTTGCCGTTGTCAAAAAAGTCCGGCGCGGACATCTGCAACAACTGCGCACTTTTTGTATGTATCAGATGTGCGCGTTTGTTGCAGATGCTTTTGAGGGACCTCCGCTTTGGGCGACATATGTCTCCTACCCTCTTAGTATCAATTGTGGATCTTCAGAAATTCATACTCACTGTGCGCGGATCAACAACAGAGCGCGGGCAAGCTTGGCATGTCCTCTCGCACATCCTTGCAATAAATTCGACATTGCAGTGGTCACAGGTTGCTCGTTCACATGATGGTAAATCAGCGATTGTCACCGACAAAATGGCGGCTATCACCCAGAGGAGTCGCATGATCTGGAGCTAGTATACTATTATTTGTTGGGGTATCGTAATTATTGTGAGAGATCGGACGATGACAACAATCTTCAAAAAGACCTTTGATATTGAAAGCATGATTTTGCAAAACACACTTATGACAGATGTTAGTTGATGGGAGAGGTATGGTGTCGAAAAAATTATTTACATGTTTTCTAATCGTGATCATAGAGCAAACAACTACTATATCAGTCATGCATGACATGGCTTTGCGTAGTTTTTGGTTCTGTGATTAGCCTCGATCCCCGGCATGAAACCAGCCCTAGCCATCGCATTGTTGAGAGAGATAAAGTTTCGAAGCATTGTTCACTAATGTCAGTTTCGAACTTGTTTATACTCCTATTTT